TTTATTCCCGTGTCTACTGCTGCAATATTTAGCGTTGAAATAAACTTTATTCAGAAAGAACAGGACGTTTCATTTTTCATGCCTTGACTGCATGAATCAGAATTTATGCCAAAGTTCAGTCATTTTATATCTATTTAACAATATTTCCTACTCTTTCAAGGCAACTCATGAAACACACAAACAAGCTACTTTTGGGGTGTTCTTTCAACCTTTCGAGATGTTTCCAGTACATTAAGCCTTGGCGAGTAGAAATGCAGAAATTACTTTAAGTTAAGCATAAAGAACACGAACGTACCTCATTTCCAAAAGGTCCTTCTCGTGCTTGCGAAGAATTTTCTCTAGCTCTTCATTGTAAGACTTCCAGGCAGTAGAGCCGTATTCACTCATCAATTCTAAATTGTTGATACGTGTCAACTGATGCTCCAGTTGAGCCTGTGTAAGAGATTTCACAGATCAATTACTTATTAAGGTAAAGTCAGTCTTGTGGCTTCTGAAGCCATAAATATGCTATGAATCTAGAACCCTTTATGACAACGACAAACCAGAGAGAGTAGATAGAAGGTATGTCCAGTGAAATGTAAACAGCCATTTGAAGAAAATTTAGCTCATAGACGTGGTACCAACACTAGGTGAACACATGGTCGCCTACACTAGTTAGACAGTAGCTAAAATTGAACCAGGTCTTCCAATTCAGGCTCACCGAAAACTAGCAACAAAGGGAACGGGAGAAGTTGAATGATACTACTTTAAAGGAGCTCTGTCGAAGTTCGAGGGTACTCTTACCGCAAGCATATGATCAGCAGGAACTCCATCCCAAATTATTTTTGAATTATCAGCATTCGCTTTAAAGGTTTTATGGGAACAACAATTAGGGCAATGATACGGTGGATGCTGGAAAGTAAACAGCCCTGAGAAAAGTAAAAATATGCAAAGCTTCCTAGAAAAAAGGATGGGTTTGACCATACAGCTAGGCAGGATACAAAGCAAGAAAAATTCCATCTCAAAAATGGGCAGAAAATGGATAAAACGTCTCAATGCATATGGTTGTCCGCCTGAAGTCATTTCAGTAGTTACACGAAATAATTCAAGCAGAAACTGTACTCCCTGAGGTAAGTTAATATCTCAATTCCCATGCATTTGTATAGTGGAATAGTGGAGTAGCAATGCCGAAAATCACGGCAGATAAAAGAAAAGCATAGTCCAATGCATGGCCAATGCACAAAATGAAATCTCACAAATGTGCAAAGTATGAGCTCGTTTATAAGGTGGAGTGAGTCGCTGAAACTAAAAATACGAAAGCATTTTCTTTCGAATTTCTGATCGCAGTAACGAAGGCTCCCCAAATCACTTTGCCAAATTCAACTTAAACTAGGGTACCTGTCTGGATGAAAACATAAGAGAAGTGATCAAAAAGGCACTACTTACATGAGCATTTTCAATAGCCTCTTGCCATGCACGAAGATCACCCATCTTGCCCGATGGTGGTGGTGGCAATTCATAGCGTTTCATGCTCATCAACTCCATTGGCAGTCGGTTAGCAAGACGATCGAACTCCGTTCGCACAAGTTCGGTCTCGAACTTCGTGGAAATAGGACCAGCTAAAGATGGGAAGTTCTCCAAATAGTTTTTTGTGGGTCGGTAGCGTCGCATCTCCTCGGTGAGCAACGCGTTGGCCTCCTGCATACCACTCTCGCCATAACCTTTGTCGAAATACGGCAAGGCATCAACAACTGCATTTTGCTGGTCCATCACCTGCCAAAATCGAGTACAATAAATAAAAAGGAATTATAAGTACAGCGAATCAGTCGCAATAAAATGCGTTTAAGTGCACACCCTGTTTATGTACTGACGACTACATCCAGATGCACCAAGTTATTAAAAAAAATTCAAATCGTCAAGTAATACCAAAGATCCCTTAAACTTTACAGTAATAGTGTTAAGAGTTGCGTGCTCCAGGACCATAGAGTCGAATGGATGAGAAAATAAGCACAAAAGAGTATTGGAATTTAGCTCATGAAGTAGCAATATAGCTAAAAAAGTTTAAGTAAGCTGAACCCGATGCACCCAAAAATCTAGTATGTAGCAAAGTATCAGACTGGAAGTACCAATAGCTTTCTATGGAGGAAGCAAATTTCTTCCAAATTCAGGTTGAGTGCACTCTACCTCTCAGACACACACCTTTAACGATCGAAGGACCAATAGCCTACCAGCACACACCAACCAGCCAGTAAAACTAGAGTGCCAAAGTTTTGCAATTCAACAAGTGGTTCCGTAAAATCACTACAAGTGTAACATTTAAGATCTCCCACTATTCACGTGCAACAATGGTAGCAACTCCAATCTTAATATCGTAGAAAAATCCTTAGGTTCTTTTTTAAAAAATGTCATAGTTATCACGTAGTAATATGCTTGATTCAACTATAAAATCACTTTCTTGAATGAGTGGTTTTGGGAAAAGAAACTGTAGCTATTTAAGTCTATGCCCCTGGTAAGAGAAAGCTTTGCATTTGCCTAAATGCGTGCATAATTGAAGAAAAAGGAGCTAGACTTGGGCTTAACCCAAGGGCCGATCTATGCGCAAAAGGGCAAAAGGACCAGCGAAGCAACAGCCAGACACCATGCAATCGTAAAAACAGCTTTGGTAAAGCACTAAGCAGCTAAAGTCGAATCTTTGAAGGCAATAATCGCTTTCACTGCGTATGCGACTGTTCAACTCTTCCCATTTCAACACGATTTTTATAAAGCATTTCTAAAGAACTCTTCATCGAAAGAAAATTTACTTGCAACCGGTTTCGTATAAAAAGGAATAAATGAAATTTTGACATGGTCCAGACTCGAGTTTAACCGTAGAAGACAATGCTACTGCAGTGTCCGAGACTTCCCACCGGTAAGTGGAGTTAAATACATGTATTGTCGGGAGAATAAAGGGATTAGGCCTGAGCTCGGCCAGAAGACCAGACCACGCGTTCCATGTCCAGATGGATAAAAAGTAAACGCCAGATATCAGGTGGTCAAATAACCAGAGTATTACAGCGACTAACGAACTACGAGAAGATGCCGCGTGTGAGGACAATTCCTGCAACATTAAACGCATTGTGAAGAAAATAGTAACTTGATACCGCCAACCATATTATGATTTAGGTAATCACAACGTTGTAATGTTTTATTAGTATGCATGTTCCTCTGCTTGAGAATGGAGATGCTTAAGAAGCTGCAATTTGCACTTCAACGCAACAAAAAGTCCCTTAAATATTGGCATCTTACAGAAGGGATGTAGCTACAGCTTGATTTGCTGGTCTGTTCATGCTGCCTGAGCCAATTTAAATGCCAAAGCGATCACAAGCCACACAAGGTATCAGAAGTACAATCACATTTGTTTGCCCATGGTAAGAATAATAACAATGGTCATATTGATTGCCCAACTTATAATGTACAACGATACAGTAGAGAATCATGCAAAAAATCCTCTTTTTTATGCGCATGAGGAATCACAAATGTGTTGGCATTAAAATCAATGGAGTAGACATGCCGTTGGCAATTTCACCTATAATGGTAGGAATGGGTGGAACAGGATTAAGGTGAAAAACTACACAAAAGAAATGTTCACGTTTACTACTCATTTTAAAAGAGCCGTTTAGATGTCAACAAGTTGTACACCTAAGTTAGAACTGGAAGGTCTTCTATGACATACCACCAATTTAAGTAATATTTTCGCGTTAATTTGAACCTATTCAAAAGTTGCAGGATTACTGGGATACTGAAATGTAAAAGTAACTTTGTAAATTGGCTGTGTGGAGTAAACAAAAGTGAGTAGCCATGGCTATAATGAGTGCATGGGTGAAATGAACTGATTTTTGACAACCCTGAAAATCTAGAATTTTGTCTGAATTGGGAACTGGATCTAAAAAAGGACTATAGTAACGCTGAAAAAACATATGCAAAAAGCATTTTGTGTTGAAGCTTGCTTTTGCCAGTAATGGAGTTGGTGTCGCCTTTCTGATATTCCCCATATCTCCTTAGTTTCAGCAAATGTTTAGCTGTCTTTATCAGACTTATACATTTCATCTTTTAATAAAAAATGCATCATATATATTGAACACGTAAATAAAATGCTTAGTAGGTATGATATTAAGTAGGTATATCTTTATTTGTTTAGTTACGCCGAAGTAAGGGGCACTCAATTAATGTCACTAGTACTGCAGTTCTATTGGCTTTTACTGCAGACTGGGGTTGGTTTGACCTTGTGGGTGAATAAACGCGGTAAGACGTTATCGAGTTAGTTTTGCAATCTCGATCATCTTATCCCGTTCCAGTAAGCGGCGTTGAATCAGGGATAATGCATTCCTTTCACTATACTTTCAATGCGTTAAGTTTCCCTATGTGAGCATAGTTTTAACTGCGTCATGAGCATAAAAATTTTTCTATGTTAATGTCGCTGGCCAAAAGGGTTATGATTTATCTTTTTTATGAATTCTCTGTCTTTTTTAACAAGTTTCCTTAAAGTCACTTAGATAGTTACAAAGATATGGGTCTCGAGCTTCTTTGTGCAGTCGCATTTCTAAATTTTTCCGACCGTTGGGGGAAGATGTAACCCAATTTCGAAATGTTGATTCATTTCGGCTAATTCCAACCGACACATGATACAACGCTGGTTACTGTTCTTCCATACACAAGTTGTTGAGCTTCTAAAATCAATTTTTGGTCCGATTCACTTGGTAATTTAGAAAATTTAAATAGTTTATATAATTTCTGAATGTCTGACACAGTTTTAGACTTGAACCGTTCAATTCCATTATGTTTTATTTGTTCGCTTGTTGTATCTACTCTGTTTGTTTGCTCCATTTTTATTTGGCTTTTCCCAGACCCATAATGACGGACCACCGTCTTTTCGGGCAGACTGATATCGATGAAGTCGATGGCGGTGAACTCAGTCTGTGTTGCATTTGCGGAAAGACCTTCCTTGATCGAAGATCCCTTCATCTGCACGTGGTTATTGATCACGAAAGTACGCACATTTTGCCAACATGAAGCTGTAGGCTTTTGAAAACACTATTTTTACTTTTTGTATTTTTCCAATGGTGTGGAAGGTTGACTTGTATTTGGCTAAATTCTACCGTGTTTTGACATCCAATCTTTTATGGCCCTTAGAAGAGGCATTGACGGCTTCGGATACCCCACCGTTAGCTCACTCTTCTGCGATTAATTCAATTGATGAGGTAGATGCGTGTAAGTTTTCCTTCATTTTAATTTCTTTATCAACATCGTTTATTTATTTCCACAGAAATTCCGTTAGGTAGACTGTAATTCTCGCGGCTAGCTTCACTAGCTAAGAGTCTGCTTCCAAGGATGAGTATTTTTCTCTACCAACTGTTTGATTATGTATACTTATAATGAATGTCTAAGCAAAGTTCTTTTTACTTAGGTACCGCATTCTGTATTTGAATATCTTCGATTAATTGGTTTTGTATATGTTTACTCATGGCCATGAATGAGGACTAACTGCTTGTTATTTGTATATTCAAGAGGAATCAATCTCCTAGAACTTGAAAAAAATGTCAAAGGTAGTTGCGTACAAGGGCATATTGTGTCCCTGCAAACAGCAAGACAGTGCTTACAAACAGACGATTAGCTTGTCTGCTTGATTGAATCGCTTTGTGGTAGCCTTATTCACTGCGCCTTTTTAAGTATCGCTGTGGTGCGAAGCCTTTTCTTACATTTTAATGGTTAGAAAATGAGCATTGCGTTGTAGGTGTTCCATTGCCCCCAATGTTAGTAGCAAGATCGGCAGCAGCAGTCGATAGTGCGGAGGGAGAAAGTAGCGATGAGTCATGTCGACCACAGGACCTGCGGATACGTCGGTCACCAATCGATTGTGTATTGCCGGGCTCGGTTGCTGCTCCGCCTCCACCCTTGCCTCCACCGACTGCAAATCCCCGCACCACACCACCGAACTCCTCTCTCATCGCCGCCACCTCCTCCGCAGCCTACCTCCACCAAGATGTCTCAAGTATGTGCCACCAGTTCACCCAACTTTTGGAAATCTTGACCCACTTGTCTGATCTCTGCGACTAAGCCAGGAAGCGAGCGCGCATACACGCTCGCGTTACGCTATGCCTCGAACACTCGCATTCATTCACATATAGGCACAACTAACACACCTCGCGTGTGCATACCTTCAAAGGACTGCTGCAATGGTGGTGGTGGTGGTGGTGATGCTTGTGTTAATGCGAAATGATGTTCTGTATGGCTTCATCCAATCGGGTTTGCCCTCCTTCTAGATGTGTATGTGTGTGTATGCTTTAAACCATCTTCAAACTTCATCTCCAAATCAGCTCAAGTTTGGTTTCGAAGTCTGAATCGACCACTTTATTTCCAGTCCAAACCATGATGATTTGTAACTAGCAGAATTTCCATTGGCCAAGTGGTAGGTCAGTATAAAGTGTTAAACTAATATATGCTCCAGTGACACTGTTTTGTTAAACGCTTCTTCTCTTCAACTGCCCTCTAAGAGGTGACATGACTGCAGCAGTGCCCTGAACTTTTACATAGCCATGACAGTCTTTCCGTGAGACTGTAGTATTGTGAGTATGGGAGTGTCACAGTCTTCAATAACGCCTTCTGATCTCCTTTAACCACGTGTGCTATGAAATAAAACCACCAGCATCTTCTACCCGCATCTATGTATCTAAGTGTACCCTCCGTTTCACGGCCTCACGCATTCACTACGAGGATTTTGACACCTTGGCAGTAGTCGCAAAAACCCAACACATTGTATGGTTTGGTAAGGGATGAGGAGATTCAGGTTTCACATAACAGCTCAAAATTTTGTCCCGATCCATCTTGTTATGCTTTTATGACCATTTTGCGTTTTAATTTCCTCTGACTGGGAGGAATTCGACGCTCCAAGACTAAGGGCTTTTAGTAGCCTAAGTTTCACAATGGTGTAAGTGAATCAAACAGGAGTGCTACCTACAAAAAAAAGCAAAAAAATGCACATTTTTCCTATGAATTATGTCACTTAAGTTATTTATTTCATTTCACTGTTTGAGTTCGTTTTCATCCCCACATAAAAGGGATGGCAGCGTTTCGGTAAACTCCTCTCACGCTAACGCCCATCTTGCATCGAGGCCTTTGAAGTGACGACTTTGCATTTCATTTCAAATGTATTTGCGGTGTGTTTGAAAATCTATTTAAACTACTTCCTGAGTCCCTTTATCCATTCGGTCACTTTCTTCAGTTAAGGTGTCCTTTAGAAGCATTCAGGGTTAGTAGGACTGAGCTGCAATTTCTGGGATAGCGTAGTCAAGACGTTTTGTTTCTAAGTAATTCTTTTCACCTACCGAAAGAGGAGCATTTCACTTTCAACAACTACCATGTTTTTCCTTTCTTAGTGCTAGTTGCAGCTCCTTTAATGTTGGCAATAACCTGTACTTCGAGTACTTTTATCCTGTCACTCCGTTAGGGTTACGGGACGTAACGGCTACAGTCTGACCGCTCGGGACTCCGGGCTATTAATATCTTCCGCTTGCCGGGCTTAACCTGTGCTTTGAGGTGACAGTTGAGTGCTACACCGTTGGTTACTACCATTAAAGTTGCTACTTCCGTTGCAGCGACTATCCACAAATCTGGCACTTACTCGCATTCCTTCATGTGTGTCCTTATTTCGTGTGTGCTGTTATATCAAGGTCGTGGTACCCTTTCCTATGCACCACCAAACACCCTTCTCTCCGTGTAGCACCCGGCGCTGGTGCGTTTTATTGTTGATGCTGCTGCCGCCGCCGCCGCCGCTTCTGTTGCTGTTGTGTTGCCCTGGCATCGTTCATACCACACACCTTCGTCTGCCCTTTTAACGGGGATAGTCACCAGCCCTCGTAATTGTAATTTTTTCGAGATGTTATTGGGTTGGGAAGTGCTTTCCTCCCCCAAGTTGGTGTTGATGAGTCTGACCGTAACTGAATCTCGTCATCAACTACCCTGGATTATTGTGATCTGATCAGCAGTAAGGGAAAAACACGGGGAATAAGTGGTGAATTCCGAGGTGTTTGAAATGCCGAACACCCTATGGTTGCCCTTTACCCTTCTTTTATCCTGATAAGGATATTGGTCTAGTTCAATGTGCACCCATCTCCCATGATAAATGCGGCACCTCGAGAAAAAGGAAAGCGATCAACGAAACGGTGTGTGTGTGTGTGTGCCCCTCTGTGTACAGTATTTCCTGGTCCAACAACAAATCGACTTAATGTCAGCCTTACACTTGAGTCTGGATTTGTTCCCTTTTCCATGCATCGTACAGTCATCCTTCCTTCTTTCATCTCAAATATACCTGCACGGTCTCATTTCATTTGTCTATCATCAACGCTTTCTGTCTCGGACCTAGGGGTCGAGCCACATCCCTTGGGGATATGGGAATTCGTATGCGTGTGCGTTTGTGTGTATGTACTATTAATTCCGCTCCTAGTGTTCACGAGGTCAGTGCTGTACTTGTGGATGTGTGAACGCTTTCATGCGAGAAGGGTAAAGCTAAGCACTTACCATTCCCGAACGCATTCACCTCCTTCCTTGAAATTGAAATTGAGCCACATGGAAAGGAGGTTTGTCACCTCTTCCAACTTCGTTATTAGCATTCTGCTTCCATGGCTTCTATCAGCTGAATTATTAAGAGGACTGGAGAGTTTTTGTGGCTACTTTCTACTTACCAATGTTTCCGGCGTTTCTGCGGGCAATTGGACTAGCACCTTTTTTTAAGTTCAGTCATGGGCTTTTATTCCAGTGGGTTTCGGCGTAATAAGGAAGCACCAGAAATTGAAAGGTAAAGATAGGGATTACTAACGTTGTGGTAGTCAGTTCCTCTTCTACAGTAAGACTGTTGACGTGGGTAATCCGATTCGTTTATACACGATCCGTGTATAAGTGTTACACTGACTCCCAATTTTACCCGCTTTGTGTCGTGTCACCATGGTTTACTCTCAAATGATCAAACAGTTGACAAGTGTCACTTGAAGTCTCTATCTGTGTATTCGCTCAAAGATGGAGTTTTGACGACACTGAATCCCTTGAAGGTAGTAATTGACATTTCAGTGCTTGGGTGTGTAGCAGTATGCCTTGACCAAGGGGCAACGTCTCTTTCATCTTCCCCACCTCCCGCTTTCTTTCTCATGCCGCTTGTGTATGTTTGTGCTAGCGGATGTGTACTTTTGGGCGATCACACACACAAGCGAGTGCGTAAACACACTTTCTCGCTCTCTCCTCTTTTTTCTCTCATACCACTTTTACCTTCGCTTGGATCACTCAGCGAGGCGCGCGCGTACCGCGGTTGACCCCAAAAGTACGTGCGGCGTGTAGGCATGCATGGGTACGCGGGTATCCGCTTGTGACCACGTGTGGTTTGAGGACGCGTTGTGGTGATGATGCGGATGGGAGATAGGGGATAAGATTGGGCAGTTAAGGCTCTTTTTGGCACGATCACTACCTCCTCTTGTGTCATCGCTGTTGTTGTTGATGCTGGTTTTGTTGTGATGACCTCGTTTGACTTCTGCTTTCCGGCCCGATTTTCTAAGGTAGGACGTCCTTTGAAACCCATTAGAACGTTCATCGTCCTCATCACATGCGTAAGGCTGACACTTGATTAGTGTACTGCAAGCAAATAAGACTTTTTAGGTTGAAATTAACAGAGGTGGAATGATAAATGATAAATGGAATGATGAAAGCACAAATGGATTAAGTTTGGTCATGTTCACTAATTGATACATTCAGGTCCGGGGTAGTCTGTGTTTCTTTGGGATCGGCCCTAAGCGATGCGAATGTTATCACGACTACTACTGCCACCACCAATGCCAATGTGATCGACGAGTATTAGGAGGCATGCATTGGTGCTGTTTGTGCGCGTTAGTGGGCTTTTTTATCTGTCAGTCCTGTTTCCCATCGACGTTATTGACTGTCTGGCTATCTGTCCCAGAGACGAGGTTTAGTATAGGCTCCAAAGCCATTGTTTCGAATCGCCTCTTTTTTCACTATAGCTCTCTTTGTTGCCCCTTTATGCAGTTGACAGCTTGAGTTCCGATGTTTTCCCATGCGGCCTTTTGAAAATGAAAATTTGCTACCCATTATTTTGCCTAAGATTCATTGGATTTACCTACTTTGCGAGCTCTTCGCTGAAGTCTCCATGCTTTCGAAGCACCTCTTAGTGAACAGTCCTCCGTTAACTGAACATTTGCTGGTACCATATTTGGAACAGGCCATTTGCAGTTCCTTCTAGTCACAAGGCTAACGTTGAACTTTCCAAACTGTCGTCAAGTTCGTCTTACCTACTAAGATGGTGCCCAGCCAACAGTCCTCTACAGAATTGTGTTGCTTCCAGAACAGCGTAATGTCATCGCATAGTTGATGACGTTAATTAGACATCCCCATGTTGACCGGGGAAGGGGAGGACTAGCGAATGTCCCACCTCTTGCATGTGATTCCTCATCAGGACCATTTGTGCACGAGTAAACGCGATCGCTCACCCATCGCCATCACTCCTCTCGGCATCAGAAGTGGCAACAGCTAACATCACCATTTTGGTTAGTAGTTGGTCTCAAAGGAAAAGGTGCTTGACTTTACCATCGCAACCACAATCTAATTGAATACGCTTTTTAGTTCGCATGAGAAGATTCGTTCTGGCAGTTTGTGTACCCAGTTGCACGTCTTCGGCTATGAATTCGTGCTTGAATTAGAGGCGCACCGCATCCTGAGAGCCGAGGAGCTGACGGTCGTATTGTGAGAGGAAGGAATGTCCATCTTGGGCTCGCTAATGAAATTTTGCGATTCTTGGTGTGGATTTCAAGCCTGCTGCGGTATCCATACTGTCTTGTACTCTTAGCACGTGCTTTCACCTTGAATTTTGCTTTCCGTAGCCACCATCACGGGAGCTGTTGGTACTACACTGCCTCAGACGGCAAATGTAGTCAGATTTAAACACTTTTTCGGGCAAACTTGACGTAAACTTTGAACAAAAAAACAAACCAGTTCATTGGGCAGGAAGCTAACTCATCTACTGCTGCTGACATTTCTACTTCACTGACCACCTCAATTCGATTTCCTTAAACTTTCGTCTGGATGGAGACTGCCATCGGTTGCTCCTTATGAAAATTAACAGAGGAGAAGTCCACCTTTCTACTGAGACCTTCACTGAATTTGGTGTTTCCTTTTCGTAGAGGTGTAATCAAATGTTCAACTTTAGAAGGCTTGCGCTGATTATTGAAGTTCAACTACATGGAGTGGTGTATTTATGGTTTTAAGTTCCTCTATTTCTCCGGCATTGTGATACTCCAGGTTTTGAGGAGAGGAACTTGAATGGCTTTAGTTTCTTCTCCACTTTGTCCCCGGCCGTCCCAACGTAGGCACTCATTGAGTATGCTGTCCTCGTCCTACGCCAAGGTCCGATTGATGCGATCGTGTCCAAAATTGCCGATGATCATCAGCATAGGACGTGGAAGAAAGGAAGAGGCTGCAATGCTCATGTTGGATGGCAGTGGTGATAACGGATAGGCAGTTGTTTATTCGACGGCCTACGGAAACGTGTGTGTACACATACACAAAGACAAACAGGTTGACCCAGTTTAAGTTCATGTGTACGCACAGGCGTAGACACGCAGACAGACGAAGGCACGAACGGGCGCGGACGCGCACGCATGCACGCATCATCATACGCTCCTTTTCCCCATTGGCAAGCCTGGCCGCATTATGCGTCGCCCTTTAGGCTGCGTGGGTGTTTGTTTCCCCTCCCTCTCACATCTCGTATTGCCCTGCCTCTTAGTCATGCTGCGAAACGCATATGCGTGCCCTTGCGCGCACCAGCGGACGGACGACCGGGAATCGGACCGTCGGACCGACCGCTCTCCCGTCCACCCACGCACTCGACTAACTGACCGGCGTATCCGAACCTAAGGTTTGAGGGCGGGGAGTGGAGCGAGTACAAGTGCTCCCCAGGTGATCTCCCCTCCTCTCCTCTCCTTTCTGCTTAATGGGAAGTGAGAGAGCGAGATTGAGTGCGTTCATCATTTCCTTCCTCTCTTTTTGTCAACTTCATGCAATAATAGCAGAAATTCGTCTCTCTGTTAACTACGCACATCGGTCTGCAATTTGTTGTCCCTCAAGCTCGACATCGTTTAACGCCTTTTTTTATTTATAGTTGCAAGAGTTGCACCCACATCTTCGAATACGATTATAGCCATAATTCTTGCAAAAGTACCCTTTTAGAAGTTTTTATTCGTGCGTCGCCACTCCTACTGCTTGAGTACCACGTTGCTCCGGGGTTGTTGATGAATCAGTCTGTAACGGCGTAGCGCACCCTCGTGATTTGTGTTGCCCTAAATTCATTAAAAATTATAGGCGTCAATCGTCGTCCCTTGGTGTAGAGGATTTTGTTAATTTATTTTTACTTTGTGTGGGCTAGGATATGCAATACTTTTTTCTTTCCCCATTGTGAGGGGCAGGCAGTGGCTGAAGGCGAAAATCGTTACAAACTCGAGGCGAAATTAAACTTCGTATTTACTGAATAACACCAGTGGTCCAAGCCTGATCGTCCTATGGAGAGAGAGAGGGAGAGCTAGGAACACAACCAATGAAATGGGCAAGTTAATCACTCATCGTGGCTCATTGTTTGCTCTTCCCCTCCACTAAATATTTTCATTGTCTCCGAAAGAAAGCAAGGCACCTAGAAGCTATCTTTTATCAAGTTTCACTTGGGACATTCAAATGTTGCCTTTGTTGCTCTGAGTCCCAGACCTTCTCGACAATGGGGCAATTTTTTGGCAAAAGTAGTAAAGCTTTCACATCTCCTTTCATTCTTCTTCTTCTCGTCCTTCTTGAAGTCTGTTGATTTCCACTCTCACTGCTTTGCTGAAATTGGAGCCTCTTGAGGAGATCGTACTTTTAACCCGATCTTAAGATACGCCGGCACTGCTTCACACCCGAGAAGTACAAGATGAGTTTGTGAGCTACAACGGCGCGTTA